CCTGAGCTCACACTTTACAGGGTTACACATACCCGGCCACTGGTCATATACCAGTGGCTACAGAGCCCATTACTTACATTCACTGATCCATGATACGGGTTTTACGAAAGAGAGGACAGTGTTCCTACGGAAAGAGTCCCCAGATTAGAGTCATGGCTCGAGAAATCACTCCAAAAGGGCAACTACTTATCAAGGTTACGACTACATGAATCAATCCTGTCTCCAGAGCTAACGAGCTGGTGAGAGAGAATGATGAACAGTGAATAACATGCTGCGCAGAGCCACTAACTGAGCAAACACCATTAATGGGGAGCCGCTTGCTGCTCTGCATGTGGGGTGCTGTCTCCCACCTGAGATTCAGGTGCAAAATCAGAATCCAAGCTAAGTGTCTTGTGTTGCTGAGAAGAGTCACCAGTGTGACAGGAGGGAAATAAACCTCCAGTATCCTTCACAGGCAATGTGTGGATGTGCCACAGTACCATCCTAGCCAAGACTCCAGTTTTTATTCCGTACAAGAGAAAATGGAAAAGAGAACCAAAAAGAATAAATAGTTTCTCTGCCAAAGCAGAACAATAACAAGCAAGAAACCAGTCTGCTTGTGGTATAATGTCAGCCTTGGCATGGACTGTGGCACAGCCAGGACTTTCCCTAAAATACGGCCCAGAATTGATCACTCAAGCCGATACTAAACTAAGCATCAAAGGTTGGTGACCTTCATCAGAGCCCATAAACACACACTAATGCAGAAACACGCACCTCTGCTGAGATTTACTTCCATTTGTTTTGAGGAGTTTTAGCATGTCAGTTGTCAAGATGAAAATGCTGGACAGACTAATGAAAGTGCAGGCTAATCATGATAAATCTGTGTATTTTGTCCCCCTTTCTCATTCCTCTGCCATCAGAACAAGCCACTTGAAGACAGGTAAAAAAGTTACATCACCTTAGTGATCCACAAATGTTGTATCTTACAATCTGACCAAGACAAATACTGTATCATTTAGGGTTGGAGAGAGGGAGGTCAGAAGGGAAGCACTGGGAAGCTCCCAGTTTGCTGCTACCTGTTCTGCCTGATCCCAGAGGCTCAGTCTCACGGTTCACGCGGCGCACGAGGAGAGGAGTGTGCAGCACGTGTGGCCAGAGCCCCCAGACCTCCTGCAGCTGGGTCAGTGCCGAAGAACTGCCTGCAAGAAAAGGGGCTGTGAGGTGGAAATATCAGAGAGGGCTGTGCAGGGTCCAGAATAAACACTTGGCTCAGTCACAGGCTCTTTTGCAACCGCAGGCAATTTGCACAGTTCACGTTTTCTTCTGGAAATTGAGGGAGCAGTCCCTGCCCTGGTCTCTGTGATCTGTACCGTTGCAAGGGCTGCCCTTGGATCTGGGCTCATGCAGCATCCAGTCCAGCAGCACAGTATGCTCAGTATCAGCTAAGCACAACTTCACAGCAAAAATAACAATCAAGAAGCAATGTTCTTCCATTAGTAGAATAGCTCAGAGAATCTTTTAAAAAAGCTACAATTTTATAACAAAAAACCCAAATGACAAACTCTTTGGAGGTGACAATATGTAGGAGAATTAGCAATGGGAGGGGAGTAGAATTTCTGAGTATTATTATATGTCATTAACAACTTTCAGATCTCATTGAGAGTGCTTTGTTGCACCTCAGTTTGTAGTGATGAGTTAAGCTTTCTTATGACACTTTTTCTGAGCATCTGAGAACCTTTACATTTATTGCATTGAGTTCCAGTAAGTCAGTAAAAGTTGAAGTGCTCAAAACCTCTATTTTGAGCAGCCTGAATAGTGTCCATCAAAGCAAACATCCTGAAAACACTCCTTTTGAGGCACTTGTTGAACACTATCATCTCAAAATGTCAGATTTACACTCATTTAAATAATTTGACAGCTTCCAAGAAGACACCTGATGAGCATCACATTCAAGTGTCAAGAAGCACAGAGAAAAAGTGCCAAGAAAAGTTCAATCCGAAGAAATTCTATCAGCTATTAGATGACTGTTACAATACAGTTACTACTAAAAAAGTTCTCATTTAAATGGAAAATACAATCAAGACAATTTTTTTTTTTAAAAAGACCTTACATTGTCCCCATACCACCTCCCGTGTTTCTTACTAGTGAGATCTCCCAGCCCACTGAATCCAGAAGGCAGACACATACAAACAGCAGTACACACTGGTGTTGGGTGAACACCCCAAGACCACTGTAACTGAGCCATCGGACATGCTACTTCTAGGGTTTTTTTGTGGGAGCCACTGGGAATTATGAGAATTCAGTATCTTCAGATTAAACCTTTAATGCCTTCTGTTGGGTATCTAAAAGCTGAATCTCTAAATGAGAAGATCCTTGGAAAAAGATCTTGGCCCTGATTTGCATATGCTCCAGTTATTTCATTGCACCAAATACTATGCAAGTTTTATATATGGGCTTGAGGCTTACTGTGTGTTTGATATGCTTTGAGATCCTCTGATGGGAGGTGTTACTTAAATACAAGTAATTTGATGCTTAAGTGTCTAGAATTCCCAGTGGACATCTGCACTCAAGCCCTGGTGCCATCACAAATGAAAAACATTTGGAATCCTTAATGTGATTTTTAATGGACATATGTTCATAACACAGTGCCACCAATTTGGCATATTTAGTGTCTTCTCAAGAGAAGCCCACAGTTTGTATAGCAAGATTGTGGGAGGTTAGGATTGCAGTGTGAGAAAATTTGCACAACACCTGCCTGACTATAATTTAATTGGCAGAAACTAATGCTCTGGGTTTGGGGATTTTTTCCTCCGCTCAAAACTGAAGAGATACTAGGACTAATCCTGCTGTCTTACACTGTCAATTTTAAGCTTTTATTCTGACTTTACTTGTGCTGCAATATGATCATTTTCTGGTCCGCTCTTCTGACAACTGAAGCATTGCTGTTTTACTCTCAGTTGTTATTTCTATGTATAATGACTTATCTGGCCAGCAGGAAGGACTCAGAATTTGTGTACTTCACTGAAAAAGGGGTCTGCTTAGTATTATTGAAGATTATGCCCCATTTTATTTTTAATGAAGTACTTAATGATATGTTTTAAGAGGAAAACAGTTGGCCAAAGTATTTCTGATCAGCTCCACCAGCAACACAATATGTGGACTCCAAAGACAAACACCACTGCTGTCATTATTAAATTGTCTTTGATTTACCTTTACTTATGGCAGAGCCCCATCTGGAGCAGTCTTTAGCACCTCTTATCCTACCAGATTTTTGTTTTCCTTTTCAGGAATGTTTGGCCTTGCAGTGCATCAAGGACAGCCCCTCTTACTTCACTATTTTCTTCCCTTCACGTTTACAAAACATAATAAAAAGCTTTGCAGGAGAGATAGAGGATACAGTCCCAGGGGAAGCGTTCCTGCAGTGTGAGATTCAGCTCCGTGGTATTTTAGACTTGCAGGGCAGGAAGGCGAGCTGCAATCCTGATCCGTGCTGCTCTGCCAGACCTGGCTGTTCAGGGCTTGCAAATCACTGCTGGCTGCCTCGGCAAAGGCCTTGCTGGAAACATCTCACTGACTGCACGAAGCTGAGCGGGTGGCGGGTTATGAACATCCTTTATATAGGATACTTACATCAATTTTGTTGCTTTAAAGAACTCCCTGAAACTTAGCTGGGATTCCTAGATTTCCTGTTCTGCAAACTTACCGTTGGCAATATTTTACATGCATGGTAGAAGCCCCATCAGTATAAAAAGTGACAGGTTGACATGAAAGCATCGCCTCATCCAGGCCCCAGATGCTTTGCTGGGACTGGGTGTGATCAGAGTGAGATGAAATGGCAGCAGGGTTATTCCTACAGTTTTGTTTGTCTGAAATACTTCAGTCTTCACACACCCAGACTGCATGGACAAATGGACATGGAGATCAGCCTTTCTTTGTGGGCGAGATGGTCTAAAATGGAGTAGGGGAAGGTAAAGAGCTGAAAGACAGACAGGCAGGAACAGTTAGAGGCAAGACCTCAAAATCTCTGAGGTCACACTCTCACCCTCAGAATTATAAGAGTAGTAGTGGCTTTTGGTATCATATACTGCCACAACAGATACAGATATGTACACGTCTGTATATGTACATATGCACACAGTGCACTTCACACATATAAAAAGCGCACAGCCACATTCCTGAGCAGTTTTGTGCCTTTTCTTTGAGTACTAATTTAAAGATGGGTTAATATTTTATGACCCCCATAGGACTCCAGTAAAATAAAACATCACATTTGAAGGAGGGGTTTGATTACTGAGGCAGTTGCTGATCTGTCTCTTCTGAGCTTGTAGCAATAGAAAATAATTGTTCAGTTTGCAAGAGCCTAAAGCAAGCCATAAGCAAAAACTTTTTATCCTGCACTGAAGGAAACCCAACATTTAGATTTACATTGACATTGCTTGTTTTTTTCAGAATTGCATGGACAAAAATAAGGCCTCCAGGCAGGCGTCTGTAGTGGTTATTCAGGCCTGTCAGTGCTCACTGTTGAGCTTTATCCCCGGATCAGGCAATGATGTTCCCAAGGTGAGTAAGCACACCTTGGACGAGCCTCCACTTCACAGCCAACTAGCGAGCATCTACCTACCAAATGTGCCAACTGCACTTTGCCTGGACAACCCCTGTGTTCCCGGTTCCAGATACTCTCTGTACTCAACCCTTCCCACACACCAAGAAGTTATGACGCTTTTGGTTTCAAAGCCAAATTGGATCAAAGTTTGGTTAAACTGCTAAATTTTGTAACTGCTTCAAAACAGCAAACCCAGGGGCTAAGAATCACTGCTTTCAGCATTCATTAATCAAACCTGTTAAATGATTACCTCGTCAGGACTGCTTTGTTGACAACTCTGCATGATGACAATGTCAGTGGCACTGTCCCAAGACACATCCAGTGGTGACATAAAGGACAAGCCTCCCTCACCTCACCTAGTGGGATGGACACCACCACGAAGAATATTTAAGGAAGGAGGATGCTTCCTTGGAAAGCAGTGATCGCAAGAGTACACCAACGCAAGTGAAACGGGATCAACTGAAAGGGACAGCAGAATCCTCTCTGACATCCAACTCAATCTTATAAAGACAGTAAGTAGAATAGCCTCTATTTTTTCCAGCTTGAAATTACCAGTGATCCAAGTTCTCTGTATTGATTTTAAAGCAGAAGTACATGATCAAGTCTACTACAAATTCTACCTTTGCGTTATACGTTATTAGGAAAGCTTATTGACTCTGGTTAGAATGTTATAGTATGCTAACACAGCCAATATATTTGATTTTAGATTGTGATCAGTATTTCAAAGCCATCAACAAGATCCACCACAGGTTCAATAATGCCCCCACAGTTGAAAGCAGAGGTAAACGTCATGCCCAAGGTTGTCCAGGGGGATTTGCAGAGCCTGCCTCCAGAAGCAAGAGATTTCATTGAAAGTAATGCCAAGCTGTGCCAACCTGAGAGCATTCATATCTGCGATGGCTCGGAAGAAGAAAACAAAAAAATTCTGGACATCATGGTAGAACAAGGCATGATCAAGAAGCTGAGCAAGTATGAGAACTGGTAAGTAGCCTGAAGGAGGTATCAACTCAGAATTGCAATATGCATTTTCTATCCTGTTTACTTTTAAAACTGCTTATAACCCTTCAATATTTGCTTTCCATGAACATTTTGGCACTGTAGCTTACATAGGTGAAATACTCAGGAAAAGCAAACTTTTTCCTCTAAAAATTAACATAAAGCATATTATTCAATTGGACTATCAACTGTACATTGTCTCTATTGATTAGTTATATCAGGGAACTGAAATAATGTAATGAGACTTACGTAACTAATCATTAGCAATGGCTAAATATTATTTAGCAAATACATCTTTTGAAGAATTCTGCTATTTTAGTCAATTAGTTTATTCATCAAATACTTTTTTGTGGCATTCAAATAACTCTGTGGGTGTTCAAATATTATTCAGTACAGGCATTATTCATATCATGCCGATGAGCTTTGACTGTAATGTATTCAGCAAGTACTTTTTTCAAATATTTCATCATCTCTCCCAACTAACCCAACATGAAAGGAGAATATTAACAACAAGTACATACTCAGAAATTACGTGCCGACCAAGAGATCTTCATGGAAGAAATCTGCAAAGACTTTTGAATAACTAAGTGCAGGAATTTGGCAATCTGTTTGCAGACTATTTGGGAGAGAAAAGGGCAAGATTCACCAGATAAATTATTCATTGTTAATTATATGCTTAGCTGTAGTGATGATGGTTATGACAGCCCAACTAGAACATTTTTATACTCGTGGAAAATTTCTATGCACAGAGGTGAAAATGTAAAACAATCCTCTCTATTGTAAATAGATGGCAAAAATTCTTTAGAGGGGAAAAAGAATCCCCTTTAATAAACTCCTTCACTTTTTATAATCATGCTTATACTCAGTATTTCTTTTGTGATGCCTCTAACTTAAAGGACTATGTCAATCCACTAAGCTGGATTCTGATCCCACGGGCACTTATACCAACACTTAAAGTACTTACTTGGTATCCACTTTGCTTGAGGCATCACTTTGTGGTCCCCATGCAAAACAACTTCACACAGATGAGAATGAGAATTAAACGAGATTAATTTTTCCCTGGAAGTTAGCAACAGAGAATAAGACTGAGATACAAGGCAAGGGAGTATTAACGTGTAACCAGAATTTCCTAGGCCATATAATTTGTTATTCGCACTGGAAAGTCTTGAAACAATTTGTATGAGAGAATGTATCTGACTGATTTTTGAGATTATCTGTTATGCTGGCTCTGTCACTGTAGTTTTCGCCTTTTTGTGCTAAACCAGTCCCACATAAGTGTAAAAAGTGCTATATTGATAATTACAGTCTAATTTCATGATTTTTGGTGAAATGCAGCTGGTTGGCTCTCACTGATCCCAGAGATGTCGCAAGAATTGAGAGCAAAACTGTCATCATCACTCAAGAACAGAGAGATACCACTCCGATCCCAAGAACTGGAACTAGCCAGCTGGGTCGCTGGATGTCTGAAGAAGATTTTGAGAAAGCCTTCAATACCAGGTTCCCAGGCTGCATGCAAGGTAGGCAAGAAAAGGACGGTTGACATTGAACTTCTAGGATTACAGAGACACTACTACTACTGGTTACTGTAATTTTTAATGAAAGATTTTAGCTGAAGGTTTAGGTTTATACCTAATATTAGTCCCTGTTGGTTTCATCCGGATCTTTGTACCACAGATCCAAATGCTTGTGCATGGACAGTCCTCAGTCTCTTTCCAGCATTCTTCTCTTCATAAAGAGGGGCAAACTAAGGTAGGAAAATTTGGGTGATTTTTTTCAGGAAGTCGCAAGCAACTAAGCAGCAGATAGGAAGTGAGAATGGAGGACCCCCATCCCCAGCAATAATTTCAGGTTCAGTGATTTACACCAACAGAGAACTTGGCCTCTGCCCACCTTTACTACTGGCTAGACAATTTGTCTGAACAGCTGCTTTCAGCATTTAAGATAAAATTTCTTGCCACACAATTAGACAAACAAAGCTACAGCTCTTTAAACATCATCAGAAACACCCACAAGACAAACAGCTTTTAAAGGAGTGAGAAACAACCTCCATGTTAGGAAAGATTATTTCAAAAGTTCCTTGTTTTGCTCTTTGCCACATCCTGCTACTCCCTGTTTTCCAGGACGTACAATGTATGTCATCCCCTTCAGCATGGGGCCTATTGGGTCTCCTTTGTCCAAGATTGGGATTGAGCTGACAGATTCACCGTATGTAGTGGCCAGCATGAGGATCATGACACGGATGGGAACAGCTGCTTTGAAAGCCCTGAGTAATGGGGAGTTTGTAAAATGCCTTCACTCGATTGGATGTCCTCTACCGCTAAAAGGTAAGAGACATTAAAAACTGTCACCCCTGGAAATTCCCAGGGGCCTGTTTTAGAGCTGACTGTGTGTTCTCAGCACATGGGAGACACTTACCATAGAAGATCAGGGTGGTTTGTGCAACAGCACTAGGTTCCGAACTCAATTAAAGGAATTAAAGCTCAATGAGAGTTTCATGGAAAGGAGGTTATTATCCCTAGTACTTACCAGGGGGTTTCCTTTAAAGCATCTGGTATGGGTTGCTGTCAGAGGCTTGAATCTGATGAAACAACAATGTGATCCAGCATGGAAGTTGCTGCATTCATGAGTACAACATTCTGTTCTGCAGAACCATTAATCAACAACTGGCCGTGCAACCCGGAGTTAACGCTGATTGCCCATCTCCCGGATCGCAGAGAAATCATTTCATTTGGCAGTGGTTATGGAGGAAACTCCTTACTGGGGAAAAAATGCTTTGCTCTCAGAATTGCCAGCAGAATCGCCAAAGAGGAGGGCTGGCTAGCTGAACACATGCTGGTAAGAGCTATTAAATCATGTGTATTTGAACAGCCATTAAACCCTAAATTAGCTCAACATAAATACATCACATCTTGCTATCAATGAAATTAGTCTCATATGGATAGTCCTGTACATTAGATATGAATTTATCGCATGGCAGGCTTATGAGAAATAGGAAACTGCTTGCAAGGTTAAGTACCAAACATTTTAAAATAGTACCTGTAAAATCAGAAACCAAGAAAGATTTGGAACTTCTGACAGTGGCTACTTGTAGGCAGACCCCTGTACTTGAGCAGAGCCTAAACATCATCACTGTGCATCCACGTTGCCCCTACAAGTCTAATAGCAAAAGATTAATGCAAGTTTTGAAAATTGTCTTTCATATTATAAAGAGGTCTAGAACTCAAAAATGTGCAAATACTAGATTTTCTAAATCAGTTCTGCTTTGTACTTTCTTTTACTTTCTGCTGTCATTTAAACATTCTACTACCATAAAATACCACTGAAAAAGAGTTTCAAAGTGCATAAGAGAACAGTCTCAGAAAAAATATCTGTGGACTCTGAGAAGTGCAGAAGTATCCATATAGAAGTGCTTTCACTTCACTCCAGTCGTGCAGCCAAAAGAATATTGCCTGGTTTTCTTCTGTCTCAGCTGAGAAACACAGCTGTATACAGTCTGTGTATCTTTAATCAGCAAAATAAAAATAAATGTTTGAATTATATACATACCTGACATTTTCTAAAAATATAAGAACTCCTTGCAGATATTCTAAGGGCAGGAAGAGTAGACTTTTTGATTATAAAGTACAGTTTGAGTTATTTGTCAACTATATTATATGGTGCTTCTTCTGTAGGAATAAATTTGCATAATTAAATATTTTATCATTACCACTTGCTGGGAGACAATCTTCAAAATTAAAAGTGCAAGAAAAAAGACCGAGTTTAACAGTTGCATTAATTTTTCAATAGATCCTGGGCATTACCAATCCAGAAGGTGAAAAGAAGTATTTTGCTGCAGCATTCCCTAGTGCATGTGGAAAAACTAACCTGGCCATGATGAACCCAAGCCTGCCAGGATGGAAAATTGAATGTGTGGGTGATGATATTGCCTGGATGAAATTTGATGAACAAGGTATGGAACTGAAATTGGATTGGTTTACAGTCCAGTCCAGGTTGCTTTTAGGTGCAGCAAGACATGCTACAAAATTCTGGATAGAATTGAAACAGTTTTATTTACTTACATTTTGTCATTTAATTTCCAGGCAACTTAAGGGCAATCAATCCAGAAAATGGTTTTTTTGGTGTCGCCCCTGGAACCTCAGTCAAAACAAACCCCAATGCTATTAAAACCATATTCAAGAACACCATCTTTACCAATGTAGCAGAAACCAGTGATGGAGGTGTCTATTGGGAAGGCATTGATGAGCCATTACCACCAGGAGTAACACTGACTTCATGGAAGAACAAGGATTGGACCCCAGATAATGGTAACCTGGCCCACTCCACAGTCTCTCTTTGCTTTCTCTGCTGAATTCAGGTTAATTCTGCCATTATGACCTTTTCATTGTATTCTGTACAGGGGAACCTTGTGCTCATCCCAATTCACGATTCTGCACTCCAGCCAGCCAGTGCCCCATCATGGACCCTGCATGGGAATCACCCGAAGGCGTGCCCATTGAAGGGATAATATTTGGAGGCCGCAGACCTGCTGGTAAGAGATGCAGCAGCCACGTATCAAGGCTGAAGTGCTGACCACAGAAGGGTTGAAACACAGCTGGGCATAAACACAGGTTTTGCTTTCACAGCTGCAAAAACAAGGGAATAACCATGTTAGTCTAACTTCTCCACGTTAGCCTTTGACACACACACTTACAGCCACTGATATTTCAATGTCTGAATTGTTAGATGTTAACACAAAATGGGTAATAATAATAAAGGGCTGGAGAGAGATCAGGACGCACTAACCTGGGTAATACATAGACACATAGCAAATTGCTATAGTTGTCTCAGTTTGCTTGCAGTTTAACTAGTTCAGATAGGAAATGGTTAGAGAAATGAACCAGTTGTAGACAGTTTACAGAAAAGGAAGTAAAATAAATTGATCTGTTAAAGGTCACCTAAAGTTGGAAAAGAAATAGAAGTAATGCTAGGTCTGAGTCTAACATCATGACCACAGGACAAGATTCTATTTCCAGGAAAATCTGCTGGGGATTCTGAGGTCCCAGATATCTCCCACTGAGCAACTAAACATGGATGTGTTCAGTAATCAGTAGCCAGTTTTGAAAACATTCATTTAAACTTCTTTGCTATAAGAGGGCAGGAAATGAACTGATTAAAAAAACAGGGAAAATTAGAATACGTTATACAGGAACATGCATTCGGCAGTATCTCAGGTAGCAAAGCCTGTTACAAAAACATTTCTGGACCTCTAATTACTGAAGTGATTTTGTTCTTTACAGGTGTGCCTCTTGTATATGAGGCCTTTAACTGGCAGCATGGAGTATTTATAGGAGCAGCTATGAGATCTGAAGCAACAGCAGCTGCTGAGCACAAAGGTAAATCAAAATTTAATCTGCCTACCTGTATTAAAAACAATCCTCTCTGGACTGCCTGCTCTGTCCTCCTCCCCTGCTCTTTTGCATTTCAGTCTTGGCAGCTAATTTTGCAACCTGTGCATTTTCACAATAGAAAATATTTGTACTGGAATTAAAAGCCAAATTCTCTGTAAAAGTCAAATTAAGCAAAATAATCCCCTAGGTGGCAAGCATACAGAACAGGGTGCAGGCATGGGGTTGCCAGGAGCCTTGATATGGAGTTCTTGTTACAGTCTGGGATAAACAAACTTAAACTTTCTTTTCTGCTAGAGCTTAACATAAATACATGAACAATGAAAGCCAACTCTTGAGGATCTTCCTTTCGGCTGCTTGACGTGAGATTTAAGAAATTAATTTCCACTGATTACAAAAATTAATCTAATTTGTACTTTTTTTTTGTATATTAAGGATAATGCTTGCATTGTTTCTTAAAGCTCTTTGGTTCAGATGCAGAAGGGTGGTTAAGGGACAATGGGTACTAAAGGATCTGAATCTTTGTGTTTTAGAATAAATGTGCTATTACCTTACATTCTCCATTTGTGTTTTGGACAGGCAAAATCATTATGCACGATCCGTTTGCCATGAGACCTTTCTTTGGCTACAACTTTGGCAAATACTTGGCCCACTGGCTCAGCATGGCACATCGTCCAGCTGCAAAACTACCAAGGATCTTTCACGTTAACTGGTTCCGGAAGGACAGCCAAGGGAAATTCCTGTGGCCTGGCTATGGAGAGAATTCCCGTGTGCTGGAGTGGATGTTCAACAGAATTGAAGGGAAAGCCTCTGCCAAGCCAACTGCCATAGGTTACATCCCTGCTGACACTGCTTTGAACCTGAAGGGTTTAGAAGATGTCAACTTGACCGAACTGTTTGATATCTCCAAAGAGTTCTGGGAAAAGGAGGTAGAAGAAATTAAACAATACTTTGAAGTGCAAGTTAATGCTGACCTTCCCTATGAAATAGAAAGGGAAATGCTTGCCTTAGGGATGAGAATAAAACAGTTGTAGCTGATCAAAACCACAATTATTTATCAACCTACACAGGACAAACACATCTGACCAAATCACCACTGGAAGCATAACAGCACACTGATGGGCAGGGAGTTATAATGAAAAGTAGGTCTTAGTTTAGTTAGAATATAAGTAGGGGCATTCTAGAAGTAAATCCAGACCTAATGATTTATAACTACGTCAGTTGTTGTGAATAGGAGAGCAGCTGTGGGAATGTATGTGCACATGGTCTCCAAAACCCTGATCTGTCACTTACACGCACATATAGCCATGACATGTGTAAATTACTTGCCTAGTTCTGCATATACAATCCAAACCAATCCAGCCTTCAAGGTGCAGCACATTGTTTCTATCACACAGACCACTAGTGTCTCAGACTCTACAGGAAGCAAGGAACTTAGATGCTGTATATACATTACCTAAACATATTTCATGGCTTAAATATTTTTTAGAAAAATGAAGTTGTAACTTTTATCATAGTGAAATATGACTTTGTATTACTAACGCGTATTTAAGATATTGCTATTATATATGCCTCATGTTCCTGTGATTCCCAGATGTTTTGAATGGCTTGTTCTTTAAACTGTTGAAATAAATGTTTATACATTTATATATGACCTCATTTCCAGTATTCTCACTGTTTATAAACTACATGCATATAAATTGGGCCTCCTGTCAATACCACAGCACAGAGAGAAATTCACATGTGGAAGTTAGATGTTGACTAGCATTGATCTGCTACTCCTAAACCAACTAGTTTAAGCCACATACTGTCTTTGCAACTTCTATTCAAGTCAAAGGAATGATCCAGAAATTACCATACCAGCTGCGAGAAATCATCCAGCTAGTGACGTGCGCTCCATAACTGGACATTGTTAGTTACTTCAGGCATTTATAGAATAAACTACCCTCTAGGAAAGTCCTATATTAGGACCTTGCTCATTTGCTGTAGTCATAGGATTTGTCTCTGTTCCACAGTACCTTGGCTTTTGCAAGAATAACTAGTGGAGCTGTTAAAGTAAAGACAGTTTGGGAAGAGTTTTCCGATTTGTTAAGATGCCTAAAGCCTTAGAGCTCAGTGAAAATAGGGGTAGGAGCCTGTGTTGGCTTCCTTGTAGATCCAAGATACTAAAACCAACTCATTTTCTCCCAATTAAAGGTGTCCTTTACATGCTTCCCGCATCCCTGGCAGGTATCCTGCTTTTTCACTTTGAATGCTTGGTCTCCCAAAATATATTGCAAATATTTGCTCAGCAAAAAGAAAATCACTTACATTGTGTAACAAGCCTTTTTATAGACCCTGCTTCCTTGCAAAACAAACAGTACCAGGGCTGGTCAACAGATGCCCTTCGAAGTTTGCTAGGAGAGGTCACATAGCCTGAAAAGCCTCTAACTACCTCCTGACTCCATGTTTAGGACTTAACGCAAACATTGTCAATTCTGAAGTGAATAATACAGCATAAGTCAATAGATAGATCACACAAAAAACAGACAATAGAAAGCTGTGACAAAAGCGGAGGAGAGCAGCGCAGCCTCTGTAGAGATGACCATCGGCTGACCTGCTTGCTGGTCAAAAACCACATCTGCATGGATGCAGGTCTCCTGTAGGGTCATCTTTAGCCTGTGTACTCTTGAGTGGGCTCCAAATTAAAAGAAAAATCAAGGTGGAAGACAGTAAATAAGTCAGAGGAAGTGAGCCAAGAGAGACTAGTATATGCACTCCTCAGATTCAAGGACTACTATCACATGTATAAAATAAAGTTGTTTATAAAGTAATCCTATAAATAGTTGATGAAAAGCTTGGGCCATTCCCAAACTGATATGACAGTATTGGACCTAGTATTTGGATAAGTCTAAGGAAGAACAAGGAGATGTAAGAAAATCTGTCATGCTAATATCAGAGAGTTATGGCCAGTTACAGTCTCAGAGTTTCTTATGGGCCTCATGAGAGGATCCCAGCCCTCAGCAGTGCAAACATGTTCCAAGCACATTTTGAAATGCTGCCCAGGAGATGTACAGAAGCTCGGGACTTTCCAGAGCACTCTGAGCAGCTCCAGTGTGCTGCTCTGCCTTTTCAAACAAAACCAGGCTCAACATTCTGCATATTACAAAAGAAATGACTCGTACTTTATGTCAGAGGAATCTGTGCCAAAGGCCCAAGCCCAGCAGGCATACGGACATGGGAGAACCAAGTGACGCTTGTCCCATAAAATGCTGCTTAATGAGGAGATTGGTACCATCACTGTGGGCCAACACAGCCGTGATCTTGTAGCACACACCCAGCTAGCCAGATTGGTATTATAAGGTGCTAACTGCCTTGAGAACATCATACCCCATACTGGATTTCATACTCTGACTAAACCTTCGCTTTATCATTCTCACCCCAAGAGGTTGGCAGACTTTCCTTCCCTTGACCACCACTGCCCTCGGGGTTCTCCTCTGGGTATTCTTTCCATATAATATAACAGAACTCATGGAAAGTGGCTATCACGAGCACTTCTGGCAAAAATATTTAAACCATTTGCGGTTCTCCTGCTCCACACATTTTAACCACATGCACCTTTTCAAACACTGCTCAGAGACTGACGGGCATGCAAATCATTCCAGAAACTACAGAAAATGGTGGGGGGGGAAATGCTGTACTGTTAAGGCTGAGAACAAGAAAATAACTTTTTGCGTGAGTCATTCAACAGCTCCTTTGTATGTAAATATATCCGCAACCCATCAGCATCTATGGGGAGTACAATTTACATTTTGAATGATCAAAATGTTTAGTATTGGCAGAGAAAATGTTTTAAAAGAGAGAAGGCGGCGGTTTAAAATTTAGAAACTTAGTCAACCGTGCCAGATTATGATCTCAACTTCTCTCCCTCCAACAAATACTATGCTCCATAAAAACAAAATGAATTAGAACAAAATGCTTTAAAATTGAAATTTGGAAGTTCCCCTGATTTTCAAAAGAAAGAGGGGAAGGCAACAAATACAATAAATTTCAACAAATTAGTAGAGAAATATAAAACTTAGCCTATTAAATGTGATTCAGAGAAGGGAAGCACAGGAAAGACTAACACATGAAGTGTACAGAGCCATAACATTTGCAACAGCTGTGTTATGAAATGCACTTGGTATTCTGGGAAGCGAGAAACAGAATACTTTCTTAAAACACTTGTGGATGTACCGGTGGCTGAAAAGAAGAGAGACAAAATCAAAATCACAGTTTAACCATTAATGCTATTGAGGATACAATCTCTGGTACCTTCTTTATGCCGTGATTCACCGAACAAGACAACACAGTGATGGATGCACCACGTCCAGGGGAGGCTGTGCTGGACTCCCTCAAGGTTAGTGCAGTCCCTCTAAATGACCTTTATCTACTTGGGCAAAAAGTCTGGCTTCAGTGCCAAGTACTCCTATTAGCACAGATAAATCCATAGAGCTCAGACCCAGACCTTGGTCCAATCTTTGCTCAGGTTGAGAAGTCTCCAAGCCTGATGCCATCCTTTGGGCTCATTTCTAATGTTTCAAGGACAAATTTTGACTGTGTTTTGTCTTGTTCCTTCAAATCCCTTTCTCAGATGTCAGTCTCAGTAGTAATTAGCTTGAGTACATGAGATATCCACACACCTGTATTCTGTCAACACAATGAAGGTTAAACCAAATAAATAAATAAAACTGAAAAGCAACATCCAGCTCACTGCAGAACTCTTATTGGAAAAAAGTGAAACCCAACTTCAAATCTCTCACAGTTCTGTGATGATAGGGCTATTTTCAGGGAAAGAAGCAAAATTCAGAGAAATAGCATTTGTGCTCTGGGAAATACTGGTTTCCAGAAACCTTGGCTACCATAGTAACATGATTTATTCCATACTTGCTGCAGTATAGTCACTTAGCTCCCTAACTGAAAGACAATTATCATAACTAGAGATGTACCTGGCTGGAAGACTACTGAAATGCTGCTTACGAATCGCAAAGCAGAGCACTCTAAATTCCAAATTAGTAATCATTATTGTTGATCATGGAGGACATTTCTGGCAGTGGTTTCACCTCAGCGATACAAAAGGGCACATTTGTCAAATGGGTGCTGGCAAACCCCAGTCAACGAAATTCCAAAACACGTCCTGCCGCATCTGTGAATCTGTATGCAAAACAGCTAGGTGGAAAAAAAGAGAAAGAAAAAACCAAATTGCTATTGTATGCCTTTACTGCATTCTGCAGCCATCACAGATATAACTTTTGGCTGCAAAACTTTAACAGAGAAGGATTTTGTGAACAAATTGTGGAAATCCACGTATATTAATATGCAAAATTCAGGCTGTATCTGACCGTCACAAACACCAACATTGTTATGGTGCCTTTGTTGTAAGGGGCTATGCAGAAGACCTCTGAGCTGAAGGGCTACCTACCCAGCCTGAAGGGCTTTATGCTGCCTTCATTACCACCAGTGACACTGGTCACCTCGGAATTCATTTTGCTCCTCCTTACATTGGCGCCATTGGACTTGCCATGGCTTTTCTCCAGTGTAAGTGTGACCAGATGTAGGTTCTGAGATTATCTGACTTCAGCTTTCATTCAAGCAGACAAGCTGCTAGCAGAACTTTTTCTAACACACGTCCCAGAAATGTTCTTTGTGTCTTTGGAAATGTCAGATACTGGCCACTGGAAAAGAGAAAACATCTGTTTTAATCCTCCCAAAGGAACATATCAAAGTTTTTGTGCTGTTTTTATGCAGCCTCAAGGCCTTTTATTCAGCTAAAAAAATCCCTTTGTAAAACTGCTGCGGGTTTTTGTTGTTGTTGTTCTTTTTTTAAACCAAGCTACTAGTTTTTGTTCTTTTTCTTGTAAAGCATCACAACGCCATTTCCCAGGTTGAGATGGCCAAGGAACAGCCCTTCCCAGAAACTTGCTCCTGATAAACAGCTGTTCTCCAGAACAAACTAAGCTCATTCTCCATGGAAAATAGCTTCTAGGCTAACAGTTAATAGATCTTACCCCTGCTTTGTACAGTTTTGGGGACTTTAAACTAAACTAATAGTCTGAACTCTTAATTTCCCCTCCTCATCTCATCAGTGAAATCCTAGGAAGGCCCTGTCGCCATGGTGGAGGCTGGCACAGCAACAGCATGTGCGTACGAATGCCATCTCAGCTATGAATGTGAAGAGCACAACAAAACCTCGTTTTACCCACCGGAAACCATCACTATATTTATCTGTGTCTTTCTGAACAGATGAGAAACTTCCCATGGTGTTCTGGAGCTCCAGATCCT